ATTCTACGAAGCAGAATTTTACAAATTGATGTTCAGTAGGGCCCCTAATGTCGGGTTTACATTGTATCTTCTCAGCGAGGAAGATTTTTTTAAATTAATGACATTTAGGTCAGAAAATATATTCAAAATATTCTAAAAGAGATTTTTTTATTATCTTATTATCTGAAATGGCTACCTATATCCATATAGCTTTAATAAGAAATCTGTGACCATCAGAAATGTCCCTGGCTGTATATTTGGGTGCTTCAAGGGACATTTGTAGATCGAATATACAAATTCAGAGACTTCAATTATTTCTGTAATAGACTTTCAAAAAATAAAAAAAAACTAAAATCTGTAATCGGATCAGGATAGTCGTTCGTGCCGACTATATGATGCCCTACACAACTACCACAAAAACATAACTCGGAATATTCTAAGTTTTTGGTTAGATCCCCTGTACCGTATAAAATATGTTATGATGGCCTCTAAAGGGACTAGGAAATCTAAAAAATTAAATTTTCGGTTCATTGAACCACCTACATATCATGTCAACATCACCGAAAATAATAGACGTCGTCCTTGGCCATAACAGGAACTTTATATAAAATTTTAAAATGATCAGCGCGATATTTCCCTCCTCTAGAGAGGTAATAGACAAATAGACACCTTTAAATATTTACATATAACTTCCACTCCGAGTATATACTCCTCTTGGATATACTATCAACTTCTCGGATCTATGTTCTTCAGGAGTAACAATTTTTTTTGTCTGGTAGTACTTCGACAATCAACAATCAACGAAATCCAGAGATTTCTTTAAAAAAGAATTAAAAAATCAATGAAGCCTGTTGGCATTTGAAATGACTGTTTGAAAAGACCGGAAAAAATTAAGTCGGTTATTCTCTAAGTTAGTGATTCAATCAATTTCTCTCGCTGTTATATAAAATATACGATATACGATAGGAAATGTGAATTCAATTTTGATTTCCCACAAAACCTGTAAATGACCAATTCGTATTGATTCTCATTTCTTTAACAACAAATATATGGTTTTTACAAAATTCGTAGTTTTTATAAATTATGCGCATACTCTTAGGTACACTCTAGGTACAAATTAAATTTGAATTTCATATCTAGTGACAGTTTGACGTCATTAAATTTAAATACTTGTTAATGAATATGTGACCCACAACATGATAATGTGGGGTTAAGAATTTTTATTCAACATAAATTAGATTTAATTATCCCATGACTGTGCCTAAACATGTTCTTGACCTTGCCGCAGAATACAGTGGCCTATTCGTCGATTATTGAACATAATAATTCCCCATATACCAAAATCAAAATATATTGTATAATTTTCTCGCTTAATTAAGGAGAAATGAAAAATTTACATAATTTTTGCCAAAAATAAAAAAATTAACATTTCAAATCGAGGTTTCGATTTTGCCGACATATGGCATTGTTGCTACTTTAACACTTTTGTTTTCACATGTCAAAGGTTTGAACCCTGCTAATTTACAGCAATAAAAAGGTTAAAAGTTTGCCAAAAAATAAATATTTCATATGCGTAACAGGTAGTTGAATATTCATTTTTGCACACTTCGTGCAGATTTTATGCAGGAATTGCGACTTTTGTTAAACCAAATGACAATAGCATTCCGCTATAAAGAGTCAAATGTGAAAGATCAAAGAAACAGTTTGCAAAAATCTCAACAAAGACCAACGTTTCTAAAATGTGGTCACTGTTGAAAATTTCCCTTCTGTTGGGACTTTGTGTTTGTGTTGTACTGGCGGAGAAAGATTCAAATGAATCGGGTGAAATTCAAGAGTCCAATGAAAGTAGTGAACCGGAATTTATTCAGACCACGGTGGCGCCACCTATAAAACCAGAAAGACGCCGTAAATTAAAAGGTTCCTCGAAGAGGAAGAATGTATCAAGGCGTAGATTGGCTGAAGGCAGAAACACGGATAATGTAGCAACCACGCCTAGCCCTGCGATGCATTTCGATCAGGTGCATTACGCCCCAAATGCTTTTGAACGTGGATATAACTTACAACAATTAAATCAACTGCATGCCGATGCCTTGGGTCGGGCCAATAACTTCGAAAATAACCCTTATCAATTACAACAATATCAGTACAATGCCGAAGCTTTGGGTCGAGCCAATACTGATCAAATTAATTTTCTAAAGGCTTTACCCGCATCAATATATGATCAGTTCGCAGCTTTGGGTACTACACCTACCAAAACAACAACACCACCGAAAACAGCGCCGAATAATGCAGCAATCACTTTGTATGCCACACTGCCGAACAGTTATGGTCTGACACCAAATGGAATTGCTATTAGCACAAATCCGTTTTTGCCCACTGGACAGACTACATCAAATATACCGGGCAATATTTTGGCATATCCACCTGGTTTTCCCATACCAATACCCGCTCCAACTCCAAATGTTATACCGGGAACAACATTGCCATTAAATACTGGTCTGCCATATCCCTTGTATGGCGGTTCACCGTTGCCAAATCCACAAACCTATGCTCAACAATTACTCTTACAGAACTATTTACAGCAATCGGGATTCTATCCCTTCGGAGTATTTCCAGAACTTCCAACGAGAACAACAACAACTCCGGCGCCAACAACAACACCAGCACCTCCAACACCAACACCGAGTCGTGGTTTCTCATGGTGGTTGCCATTTTCCGGTATGTTTCCCGGAACGAATGCAGGACGTTGGCAGTTGGTAGTGGATGCACCCACATCAAGGAAAAATGATGAAGGAATGGCGAGGTCAAAATCTCGATCGAATAATAATTTGGTTTCATATTTGATACCAGCTCGTGGTAGAGCCAGAAGAAGAGGTAAATCTTTGGACATGGAAGAAGTGGAACAAGCGACAATGGAAGTGAAAACTAATATGGAAATGGAACATCCTGCTATGAATGTCAAAAGTGAAATAGAAAATGTTGCAGCAGAAGTGAAAAACGAGATGATAATTGAAAATCCTACTATTCAATCCAACGAAGAGTAATGACAATTAATAAATAAATTAATAAAACGAAACAAGTATTACAATGAATAAAAAGCGTGTGAAATAACATATTTAAGGTAAATGTCCTGAGGGTAAGGAGAGAATGTGATGGCTGGGGGAATGTGTAGAGAAATTATGGTTTCATATGTGGGAGTGAGGTAAATCTTCGAAGTTCAAAATTGGAAATTCCCGCAGTGTCTGAGGTCGCTACTAATCTCAGAATGATCTATATGGGATATATCGATCCATGTTTTAGAATAGTCCCTCCCCATTTTTTATATTTTAGGGATTTATTCACATGTCCCAACCGAAGTTTCTTTTCAGGTTGTCAGAGTAAAAAATGTCAACATAGTCCATGTCCATGCGATATGTTACCTAATTAGGAGCCAATGTACTTAATTACAGCCAATTCGGTTGGAAAATGTGTCAAAATACCGCCCTCATATTACGATGGGGGTACCGTTAATTCCAGTATTGATAATTTTTGGAAAAATACTACCTTATGAGAACCCAAATTAATAAATATCACCTTATTAGGTTGAAAATAAGCGCCCAAAGGCTTCTAAATGCCGAATATTTGAGATCCATATATTATATGAAGCTACCCTGAGAAGTGGGCCGACATATCCCAATTTTAGTACCAAATTTCTTAGGAATAGTAGGAATGCAAAATTTCAAAGTTCTAACATCAATATTAGGAGCTCTATCGAGATTTCGACGCACTAATGAGCTTTAATAAGTCCGATCAAAAATATATATTCTTCATGAGGTCTCCGATGAAGAATATATATTTTTGATCGGACTTATTAAAGCTCATTAGTGCGTCGAAATCTCGATAGAGCTCCTAATACTATTCCTAAGAAATTTGGTACTAAAATTGGGATATGTCGGCCCACTTCTCAGGGTAGCTTCATATAATATATGGATCTCAAATATTCGGCATTTAGAAGCCTTTGGGTGCTTATTTTCAACCTAATAAGGTGATATTTATTAATTTGGGTTCTCATAAGGTAATATTTTCTACCAAAAATTATCAATACTGGTTACTTTTTTAGCCCTCATTTAAAAATATATATATATATTGGCTGTAATTAAGTACATTGGCTCTTAATTAGGTAACATATCTTCAAAAAAAAAAAAATATATATTGGTTTCTATTTTATGACAGCCCTTATATAACAGTACCTCTCAAATTTCGGGAGTGTTTTTGGGAGTTTGGATACATCTAACTCAAAAAATTATCAATATTGGTTCACTTTTAAAATATATTCCAAATATTCCTGCCATGAATTATCAATATTGAGCCAGTTTTTACTATAGCCCAATTATTTGGTATTTTGGTGATTATGGTCACGTCCCCGAATTGGCACCAATTGGATATTAAATATTATTACACAAATATATGTAAAGGCCACGAACTATTCGCATATAATTTTTAATATAGGTATTTTTGTTCTTCTACTAATTATAATCTTAAAAACTATTTTGTGAATGCTAATCGATTTTTGAAGACAGTTTTTCTTGATAGTCGACAAAAAGTCTTCGCTTTTGTTAGAATAGAATTTGAATTAATTTTATGATGATTACATTTTACACCGATACCCATTTTGGGAAAGTAGACCTGCCACTATTGACCAAATACGCATCAAAACGGTCGTAAATGTCTAATATGTTACTAACAACCAATATTAGCTTTCTATTTAATGTTGTTTAAAAATTAGTTCTAAACAAAAGATATTCTTTCCATATTTTTTGTCCATATTTCATTATTATTATGACGATTGTGTTCCCAATGCAAAACCTTTTCAAACCATGAACAATGGACTTATTCCAAAATCCCTTCATTTATGAATTTATAATTTGTTTTTGTAAAATTATTCACTTCTAACTGTCCCTACGAATTATGTTATAAAACACCAAGCTGGTTGGAGTTCCACAGTTATTCATTCCTTATACCTCTTACACAGTGGATCTGTAATGATTCGACGGTTGATATTATTCGCGTTGATAGCTTGCTGTCTCCAGTTGACAGTGGCGAAATCACAAAGACGTCCATCGTTGGCCAAAACAAATGTAGAAGAAACTACAACTCCCGATTATACTGATGCTGCTGCTGTTGATGACGATGATGCACATTATGTAGACTCCAATGACTACGAAATTCCCAGCATCAATTTTGAAGATCTTGTCACCGATAATCATAAAACAATTCACCCATCGCGGGCATTTTTGGTCCCCGTGTCATTGGATCAATTATCGAGAATTATTATAACAAAGCGTCCAACGACAAGAAAACCAAAACCACCAACATATTATCCACCACCACCACCACACTATTATCCTCCGCCGCCGTATAAACCTCCACAGTACTACCCACAGTATCCGACTCCATTCCCTCATCCACCAATAGCTACTACAGTGGCACCAACGACATCACCAAGTGTAGTGCCACCAACGCAGCGACCACCATATCCACCATATCATGGATATTATCCTCCACCACCACCATTTTATCCACCACCTTACTATGGTTATCCATATTATCCATATTACCCAGTAGTACCGCCAACATTGCCAACTGCTGCACCGACCACAACGACGACGACAACAACAACAACGAGGGCACCAACACCACCCACGGAAAATCTTATTACAGGAAGGAATACTAGCGCTTGAAGTAAATGGATGGACATCGATGATCGAGCATGGTTTATTTTATGAAAAAAAAACAAACACAATAAAGAAAAAAGTATTTTTGAAATTAATTTAAAAAAATTTAATATCACCGGTCTTCGTATTAGGGTAGTCATCATATAACTGTACCACCCAAATTTCAGTGTCTTGGGGAGGTTGGACATGCGTTTCAAAGGAAAGTGACTGTAATTTTATATTTTGAAATCTCATCGGAAAGAATACCTCCATATAAATAATTTTTGGTATTGGGCAAAGTTTCAGCGTAGCCTCCATTATCGGTAATTTGAGCACGTTTTCAAGCGAAATTGGCATTATGGGTTCACAGAAAGTAATAGACCTCCTTCCAAAAATGTTTCAATATATGAACATAGGACATGCTTCGGAATGTCCAATTTGGTCCAAATATGTACCGTTTTGTTGTCATTTTAAAGGTAACTTATTGACATAATGCCTCCCTCATAGAAGTCCTGCTGTCTATTTGCAAAAAAAAAAATTGGTAGCCTAGGGTTGTCCTGGTGGAACACGACACCTCTCCTGTTGGCCAATTCTGGTCGTTATGGTCGATTTTTAGCTTCTGCGCAATGTTACAACTGCTAACATGCCCGTCAACTTCGATCATTTCTCCTGTTTTATCGACATTTTCGACGACCGGCCTACCTGTGCGAGGTACATCTTTAACATCAAAAATTCCTGAACGGAATCTACGAAACCAAAATTGCACATAATAGGCTTTTACAGTATCGGAACCATAAACACCATACACAGTTTTAGCCGCTTGGCTTGCATTTTCGCTTTTGTCAAAGAAAAATTGTAAAACGTTCGGAATTTTCTCTTTGTTCACTTCCATGTAACTCACAACTGGTCACCAACAGCAAAATAATTTTTTTTTACCAACGAGCATAAATCTGAGATTGTTTGATCGATACTTTACGAGATCTGATCTTCTATCAGTACAGCCATCTACCATCAGTTCACTGTAGATCCCATATACTGGTACCCCAAATCCTGGGTATTTCATAAGCCTTTCTCGACCAAATTGGATGTAATTATATTTTTATACCCTTCACCACACTGTGGTACAGGGTATTATGTCTTTGTGCATATGTTTGTAACAGGCAAAAATAATCGAGATAGACCCATGGTTCCTTTTGAGAATATGCATAGAATCACTTTCTGAATCGATTTATGCATGTCCGTCCGTCCGTCCGTCTGTCCGTCTGTTGGTGTTAAATTGTAAACAAAGTACAGGTCGCATTTATGATCCGATTTGGATGAAATTTGGCACAGCTCATTTGTTTGGCCCAAGGACGAACCCTATTGAAATTGGGAAAAATCGGTTCAGATTTAGATATAGCTCCCATATATATTTTTGCCCGATTTACGGACTTTAGACCCTGAAAATCTTTCGATTTGCACGAAATTTGGCATAGCGTACTGAATTGAGCCACGAAAGATGTGTGCCAAGTTTCGTGAAAATCGGTTCAGATTTATATATAGCTCCCATATATAGTTTCGCCCGATTTACGGACTTTAGACCCTGAAAATCTTTAGATTTGCACGAAATTTGGCATAGCGTACTGAATTGAGCCACGAAAGATGTGTGCCAAGTTTCGTGAAAATCGGTTCAGATTTAGATATAGCTCCCATATATAGTTTCGGCCGATTTTTGGTAAATGGCGTACCAAAGTCCCTATATATCTTTCGATTTGCACGAAATTTGGCATAGCGCACTGAATTAAGTCTAGAATGATGTGTGCAAAGTTTCGTGAAAATCGGTTCAGATTTAGATATAGCTCCCGTATATATCTTCCTCCGATTTAAGGTAAATGGTGTACCAAAGTCCTTATATATCTTTCGATTTGCATGAAATTTGGCATAACGTACTGAATTGAGGCTAGAATGATGTCTGCCCAGTTTCGCGAAAATCGGTCCAGATTTAGATATAGCTCCCATATATAGTTTCGTCCGATTTCATGTTAATGGTGCCCCAAAGTCCCTATATATCTTTCGATTTGCAGGAAATTTGGCATAACGTACTGAATTGAGCCTAGAATGATGTCTGCCCAGTTTCGAGAAAATCGGCCCAGATTCAGATATAGTTTCGTCCGATTTCATGTAAATGGTGCACCAAAGTCCCTATATATCCTTCGATATATTTGGGTAGAGCTTCCATATATATTTTCGCCCGATTTTAAGTAAATTGGACATCAAACTCTTCATGCTAGTCAGGTTGACATCAAATTTTGCACAACGTACAAAATTGAGCATAGAATTACGTGGTTGCGTTTTCTAGAAGTACAGACATAGCCCAACAGATAACCTATTTATATTTGATTGAACTCGATTTATATAACTTATGGATATATAGGTAGATTCACATTTAGATAAATATCACATATTTTATTTCATCCAATTTCATGTTAATAGTCCTGTTTAATATATCCATAGTGGTGAAGGGTATCATATAGTCGGTCCCGTCCGACTTTACTACTTTCCTTACTGGTTTTAGTTCTCCTTGGGTGGTAAATCTACCTATCAAAAATTATCAATATAGACCTACACGTTGGTATAGCCCATATGTTGGTGGTTCTATCCCAATTTCATTGTCTACAGAAAGAAATTTACCATGGCATAGCCTCCATATAGAAGTATATTCGATCGATTTTATGTGCCTTAAATTTCCAACTCATGGTGGAGGACATAAAAAGTTCGGTGCAGTTGAACGGAACGAAATTTTGTTTTGACCTATCCCCCATTAGGGGCCACATCATGTTGGTAGTTTAATGGTGCAAAGCACAGTATCCAAGCGGATCGGCTGTAATTGGACATACATATTTCTTGGTGGATTGAAACAGAGTATTTTAATATTTTGGGCGCATTTTCCACTTAAAGAAGCTACAATTTGGCATTCAGAGTACGTGTAGGGCAAAAAACTTATTAGCAGATGACCTCCTGTGTTGGCAAATCACTATTATAAATGCCCCTTTCCTTTTTGATATTTTTGTTTTTTGGAACCATATTCCTGTTGCTGTGGCTATAATTTGACATTCAGGTACGTGAAAATAGATCCCTGGACGTTTTAGACACATTTTTTGAGGATGTAATTTGGCAAACCGGGTACTCTAAGTGCACATACAGAATTCCCAACTGATTAAAGTTATTTTGAATGCATAGGGAATAAAAAGTTCGAGCCGACCGAACGTAATGAAATTCTTAGTTTTTTAAGTGGGTAATAACATCGTTTTTCAAACGCAACTGAAAATTAATTTATTCGGGCATTGGTGTTTTACCTGCATAATCATTCATCACACCATAACTCAAAAAATATATTCATACCATTTAAAATTCAATAACAATAAATTTCAGAAATTTTATTCTTTTAAAGAAATGATATATCGATTTCGGAACTTCTTTCTAAAACACATTTAATTCCAAACACAAAGTCTATTCATTGAGACATTTAAATTGATATTTTATGAGCATTAAAGATTTACACACCCATAAGAAAATTAATTTTCTGACGATAGTAAAGCATCACATATTCGATTCACTTGACGACTGACATTTATTTTAATTAAATAGATTTTATTCAAACCTCCACACCAACAATACGTTGTAATATCTTTGTTCTTGTTGTTGCCATTGTCATTATAAAATATTTACATTTTGGCGAAAAAGAAATAAAATCATTTTGTTACCGAATGGGCATTTAGTACAAATTCAGTTACAAGGCAAAAGTTACAGCCTATCCCGTAATTTACATACCGGGGGTAATTTACATACCTAGATAAACTACATATTGACGTTCACTTGAAGGTTTTACATCAGTCTATCCTCGAACGAACATCAACGATGTTGAAAACTGTCGCATTAACCGTTGTGGTCGTTTTGTGCCTACAAATTGTATTGGCCGAACCAGAACCACGTCGTCGTCGTTTACCAAATCCTCAAACCGAAGATATAGAAATCCTAGAGGAATTACAAAATGGAGCTTCCCGAGCACGCCATGCCAATAATTATTCGTGGCGGAATATCATGCAACAGTTTAATCAACGGCCTGGTCAATCGAATGTAGGGCGTCGTCGCAAAGTCAACTCAGCCACAAAAGCATTGGGACGTCAAGCTGTAGTACCGGCCCCATACTATCAATTGACTCTGGAAAATCCTGAAGTTAACGAAGACGACACATACATCGAAGCATTACCTTCTGCAGTTTTACAAGGAGAACAAATATTACCAATTTCATGGATTAAACCACAAAAGGAGCAAGAACCATTAAAGGAAGAAGGTCGTGTGTGGTCTCTGTTCAATGGCCATTATAATAACCAAGATATGGAAGAAAATATTGACCAGAACAATACTCCCGTAATAACAATTAATGCAGAAGAATTCTTTCACAAATTTGGATTTATTCCCAAAATCACCATTACCGAAGGCAATCATAATGCAAGCAATAATACCGACAGCAGTCAAGAAGGCAGCATTGTAATTTCGAAATTTCCATTTATTAAGACACAAAGACCACCAACTACCAAAACGACACCGGCACCTTATACTACTACTACTACAAAAAAGCCACAAAGACCATCAAAAACCACAACGAGAACAACGACGACACCGGCACCCTCAACTACTACCAAAACTTGGTGGTGGCCAAAGATTGGAAAACTGCCCGTCCAATTACTGATACATACCCCAGAGACTTTGGATCAAGAAGGTTTGAAACCTGCCAACCATGGCATTAAAATAACCTATTTTAAGCCTTTGCCTCAAAGACAACACAATATGGATCAAACAAATAATAACCAGAATGAATTTGAATCGCCAACTGTAAGTGAAAACACTGGCGAAGCAAATAGTGAGACATCAAATTCCGTAAATGAAGACATCAATACACCTACTGAAGTTGTAGAAGAACCCGCAGTTGTCCAGCCAAGTGAGATGGAATCTTCGAATATTGTCGCTGCCGATGCAACAGCATC